CCAGGGAAACCATCCCTAACTAACTGGTGGGGTGTCATTGCTAATGAATATAACAGTTGGAAAAACAGATTTTAACTTTTTACTCAATTGATGTGCAGTTACAATATGGTCATTAAAAGTGAAATTAGTGAAACCTCAGACTTGCTTATAATGAAAGTATGCACTGATACTATATTTGTGGTAAAGTATTTATGTGTATGAACAAGGACTAGAAGATGAATAAACTATATATTTCTGTGGTAGAATCTACATGTGTATTTTTATTTAAATAAGTATTTTCATGTCAGACCAGTTCTAGCAGATTCTGTGCAAGGCCACAGCCCTAGTCCAATTCCAAGTGAATCAGGATGAATGTATTATTCCATTATTGCATCATGATCAAGTTTGGTGGGTTGCAGGTTCAATCCCCAGTTAAGGCATGTACAGGAGGCAATTAATCAATGTTTCTTATGTCCATGTCTCTCCTCTGTCTATAAAATCTGTAAAAACATATGCTTGGGTGAGAATTAAAAAAAAAAAAAAAAGATACAGTTACATGCAGGGAATGGGAACCTTGAGAGGAACCATTGGAGGCCTAGAGGGCTGGAATACCCAGGCAAGCCTGGGAGCCTCCTGGGCATGTTCATTTGCTTCACATTTCAGCTTTTCCAGAGGGACTTCTTCAGGGGAGGGATGATCCAATGTCCAGTACTAAGCAACAAGACTGTCAGAACTAGGGCACATATGTGATGTCCATGTTTCACATGAGATGACAATATTCTCTTAAGTCATACATCCTGTAACCTGCAACCAATTCCATACCTTGTTCCATGACCACTTTGTTCTCTTGAGTTGCGTATAACATTTCAAAACATTCTTTAAATTTCTGGGTCAAAAGTACTTATGTTCAACAGATACTGGTTGAGTGTTGCCCTACCCAGACTCTTAAGGCACAGGGCTTGTGGCTCCTGTATCACATTTAATCATTTCCACGTGGCTCTTTCGGCTTCTCCAAGCCATGAGAACATCCAGGTTTAAAGAACTTAAACCAGGTGCTGCTGCTTTCCCACCATCTTGGTTCAAGATCTTTCCTAGAGAGGAGAAGCAGTTCTCCATGGGGAACATCAGCAGCTCCTCCAAGTCCCAGTGGTTTTCTTGGGGAGTGTCCTCATCTTGGTGCCCAGCACAGGCTATTGAACTTTACAGCCATGTCCTCAAATGAGATCACTTCATCCTGGAATGTCAACACTTGTCTGTTGTGAGAAGTTTACTGGAGGTGAGCTGACTTCTTTCCCATCTGTGGCAGTTTCAAACATGGCCACAAATTTTTGCCATTCCTCCCTGGGAACAGGGCTTGTTTTGACCAGTAGCGTCAACACAATCATGCCATGTGAGTTCCATGAGATGAGGTCATAAAGAATGATGTGGCTGCTGCTTCACTGGAACACTTCCTCATCTCTGGGATGGCTCCCATGACCATCTGCTCATGCCTTAATTCCTCTCCTTGACTTAGCCCCTCATAGCTCTCATTGTCCTGGCATCACCAATGGAATTATAGTTCCTGGCTGGAACAGGAGCCCCACATGGGCAGGGAAGTAGTTTGTTCACTACTCTCCCTTTAAGAAGTTTGCTGCAGCCCTGACTGGTGTGGCCTAATGGGTTGGGTGTTGTCCTGCAAACTGAAAGGTTGCTGGTTTGATTCCTGGTCAGTGCACATGCCTGTGTTTTGGGTCAAGCCCCCAGTTGGGGGCATGCAAGAGGCAAATGATGAGAGGGAACTGATGGGTGTTTCTCTCTCACACTGAAGTTTCCTTTTCTTCCAACCTTTCCCTCTTTAAGAAAAAATCATCTTTTTAAAAAGAAAAAAATGTTTGCTGCACATAGCAGTTAACTGATTTCCCTTTCCAGGTTGACCATACCCAAGCCCCAGAATTCCATGATATCCCCATCTCTCGGGGTCAATGAAAGATCATCCCCTGATTTAACTATAGAATCAACCCAGGAACAGTGTAGATGACCAACTAAATACCACCAACCTCAAAGCAAGAAAGAGATTCCCTTTTGGGTTTTCTATCAGATTCCTGGTACCAAGGAGATCTTGGTTTGGTGCTAGCTGGTTTGTGAGCCTCTCTCACACTTTGCCAATAATCCTTTTTAACAAAAAGAATAGGCTTGCAGAAGCAACAATATCTGGCTAAAATTAAAACAATATTGTTTGGTTTCAACCAAATTTAACTCACGCTTATTTTGACAAAAATAAAGACCTCTTTAAAAGTAGGTTTGAGTTTTAACAAGTGAGTGGATTTAGATATTATTAAGCAAATAAGACTGAGGGTACTACCACAAAATTACAAGGATGGGAGCAGATGCCCAATTTAGGAGTCATTTTCTAGCAATCCCTGTATAGCTCACCTTTGCTGTTCCCTTGCCAGCCAGGCTGCCCTTAGGGGTGTGGTCCCCCAAGAGTTTCTCACAGTTACTTCAAGTTAAGTTTATGCTTATCGCACCAACTTTAGCCCCCCCACCCCTTAACATTCCCCACTCCAGTGGCTGAATGAAACAAAACTGCAAATGCCCCGAGTGTTCGCCAGGCCAATATGATGGGCAAGGGAAGATGGGAGGGAGGGGCAATGGCCACCCAGTGCCTCCAGCACAAGGTGAGTCCTGGGGTCCCTTTCCCAGGAGTGAGGGGTCCTTCAGGAGGGAGGGTTAAGGCCACTCAGCTATGGTTGGATAGTCAGATGGACCTGCATTCCCGGCTATTTGAACCTGAGGAATTTCAGTGGGATGGAGTCCATGAGCTGGGAAACTGGTCCCAGGAAAAACTAGGGAAAAAGAATTGACACCATAAGGACACCATCACCAAAATCCAGGATGTGGTAAATCCAATGGGAGAAACCTGGTTTCAACAAATACAAGTAAAAGGAAAAAGCACATGTCGGGGACATCCATAAATTACAGGACTTAAATATACTTTAAAACGCAAGGTGTGAACCTTGTTAAAATCCTAATTTGAAAAGCAAAATGTAAAAAAATAGACATAATGGTGGTTAATTTAAACCCTGAGTATTTGCTATTAAATAGTTACTGCTACTATTTCTAAGTGTTAATGATTTTGTAGTTATTTAAAGTTCATTTCCCTCCATTGTATTTTTTTTCCCCAGTAGGTGTTGGTAACATTTTAAAACAGCTTTATTGAGACATAATTTATAATCAATTCACCCACTTAACCTGTACAAATTACATTTTCATCACCCCAAAAACAAAATACCCATTTAGCAGTCAGTCACATTTCCCCTTAAATTCCCCAAGCCCTAGGCAACAACTAGTTATTGTGCTTTCTCTTATGTATTTTCCTATTCTGGGAAAAAAATTTAGAAATACATTGAGAGGTGAGCATACGCAATATTAGTAGATTCAATAGTCATTGACTCAAGGAGGATCCCATTAGTGTGGTTCCTTCCACTTTTGTGCTCTTCCATCCTCAGCATGTGGACTTTGCCTCGGGCTGGATGCCTCCTGGTGCTGACAGGGTGGTTCCGCTCCACCCATCACAGACAACACTGGTAGTTCGGAGGGAGTGAAAGGGGACACCCTAGTGCCCTACGTCCATTTTTTAGAGGGAGGAAAACTTCCCCAGAAGCCCCCGGGACACTTGTTATTCCTTCTTGGCCACAATGCCCTTTCCTAATTCAAACAAAACGCAAGAGGCATGAAACCATCAAGACTCTCCCTTTGGAAGTTAGATTCCAGACTTTCTGAAAGAATATACAAATTGCAGGGTGATGTCAGCGAGTAACAAGCGGGCGAGTAAGAAGGTGATGACTGTTGTTTAAAGCAACCAACAAAGTCGGTCCCAGATGGGTCCCAGATGAGTCCCAGGAGCACCCGAGACACACGAGCACAACCCAGGAGCTCACCATGAATGATGTCTCAGAAAAGCAGGAGTGGTTCGCATCCAAAGGGTGGGGGATGGGTCTGACTCTGCCTCCCACATACAATGCAATGACTGAATATACAAACAAGGGCCACACCTCTCTGGCCCACATCCTCTGCAGCAATAGACCAAGTTAGTCAAACCTTGGTGACCAACTGCCAAGCCTTCCTGGTTTTTGCCCCTATACTACTTAGGAGCAATGAGAAAACAGACAAATAGGCTCCCCCAATCACATAGGACGGTAACGGAACCAAAGGGAGGTTCGGCTGCCTGCCACAGGAAAGCCAAACTCGTGAAGAACTGGTGGTGCAAAAGAAAAGAGCTTTTAGTCAGGTGCCGCACGACCTGGGTGAATGGCGAACTCCCGTCTCAAAGACGAGCCCCCGTTCCTATAGGTGAGGGCTTTATTTTTTTCCTTCTGTCCAGTAATTTTGCTTTTGGCAGGCTCGGGGGCCTTTATACCTTAATCGTTTTAGCTTTCCTGGCTGTAGGGACCCGATCTATTCATATTTCTAGTTTCTGGCGCACCTATCCATTCATTTTCCTAGATTGCGACACTCTCAGCTTAAGAACCTCCCCCTGCCACCATCTTGGCCAATGGGGGAGACTCCCCAGCGCCCAACAGACTGAGTAAGAGGACGAAACACCTCTAGTCAGCCAGCCTCCAACTTACACCTTCGACAACGTGCAAGCAGGGCGCCTGCTGCGGCCTTTCCCGTTTGTCACTGTCCCTGTGCCCAGTCCTTCAGCCTCCGCCAAACGCACAGGACGGGGGCGGACTGCCTTGCTCACCAGCCAGGCAGTCTTCGTTTACTTCCACAAGCAGGTCCAGGCGTCGGAAAGGACCATGACGGAAGGAGGCCAGGAGCAGCTGACACGCGAAACCCGCTCCCGACGTGGGTCGCCCCCGCGGCTGCGGCGTCGGCCTCGGTCCCCGAAGAGGAGAATCGGAGCCGCCCCGTGGACTTGGACCCCCGTCGAGAAGCGCGTCCACGGGGTTAACGGCGAGGAACCGCCACCCGCACGGCCTTCTGGGACTTGTAGTTGGTAGGGCGGAGAACGCGCACTTCCGCCGTCCACCGGAAGCTCCGCCATTGCCTCGCCCGCGCAGGTGAGTCAGGCACGCGGGAATTGCCGGGAGGCTCCGCCGCAGGCCGGGCGGGGCGGGTAGGAGGATCCGGCTGAAGTGACCGGGGCCGCGTCCGAGCAGGCAGCGGGCCTGGCCCGCGTATCTCCTCCTGCGGGGCGGGGCCGGGGACTGTAAAATTGAGGCCCCTCCTGCTGCAGGAACCCGTAGGGAGCCGGTCCAGGCAGGGCCCCTCCGGCAGCAGAGCCCAGCGGAGGCCCTCTTGCCGCAGGACGGAGCTGGGGCTGCTCTGGGTGACCCTCTGACCGCAAAGCAGGCCCTGCGGCAGTATCTTGTCGGCGCCGAGTTGCCGTTGAGGATTTGAGGCCGGCGTGTGGGGCTCCGGAGCCTCCCACCCAGGAGGCTGGCTGTGCAGGAGGTGGCGGCCCCGGGACTGTACGCCTTGTGGGTGAAAAGGGAATTCTGGGAGACAAACCTCACGGGCAGATAAAGTCCTCGTTTCCTAACTGGGCGGGTCAGGGCAGGTAGTCGCGCCCCTGGCCTGTAACGTCTTTAGTAAAAAGTTGATCTTTGCCTTAAGCAAGCCCTGTCCATTGTTTCCGTGCGTCTGGGTTAGCGCACCTTTGAAGCGCCTCTCTCTCGCCCGACGGCCTGTCGTCCCGGATCCCTGCCTTGCTTTCTCCCCACTCCATGTAATTTTACGTTCCCTTTTTAATTCTGAATGGTTTAAAAAACTGCAAACTCATGGCTGGAAAGCATTTTCTCAGTCTGTCGAGGTCATGCCTCCAGGTGTAGTCTCTGTTCGGCTCAAGTAAATTATAAAAAAAGTTCTGTACAGGTTGGGACGCCCTTGCTTACATCCACGCCCTGTACCCCAGAGGACACCCCCGTCCCAGAATACGGCCACGTTTTCTTCCACTGATACGTGAATGTTGTGCTTACTTTGAAGAGAAAATGTTGTTTTTCAAGTGAACAAAGAACCTAGGGATAGCATAGGCAGAGCAGACACCATCAGCAACACCAGTCTGGGGTGGGCGGTGGGGGTCCGAACAGTGGTTGTATGTGCTAATGCCCCAAGTTAGGGGCTGGAGAGGCGAACGGGGCTGGAGGTGTGGACAGCAAGGACAGGGAGCTGTCCTATGCATGAGGGCTGGGGGGTTGGATTTCGGGGAGACTCTGGACGTGGAATCATGTGGCTGTAGCAATAACTCCGTGCAAGGAAGCGTGTCAAGGGGGTGGCAATTGCTGAGAAGGCTTTGTTTCCATTTACTTTTTAAAAGAAGTGTTTTATTGATTGGTCTTACAAGACAGAAACATCACTTTGTTGTTCCCCTTATTAATTCATTCATCGGTTGATTCTTACCTGTGTCATGATCGGGGTTCGATCCCACAGTGCTGGCATGCTGGGCTGAGGCGCTAACCAACGGAGCTACCCAGCCAGGGCTCCGTTTCTAGTTAGGAACCAGGAAGGAGGCCACAGAACAAAAGAAAAGGAATTCTTAGTCCCTCTGAGCTCTGTGGAGCTGAGGATTCCGTCGGAGGAGGAGAGGGGGTGGCTGGACGTGGAGAAGGCAATGGCAGTGTCAGGAAGCCTGCGAGGGGGGTCTAGTCTTGTCATGAAGCTGGGGGCAGCACTTGAGACCCCACCCCAAAGTCAGGAAACTCCCCAGCCAGACCAGCCCTCTCCTGCGTCCAGCATGAGATATGGACGGGGGATTTTATGTGCCAGAGCACATGTGCCGGGAAGGTGGAGTGAATTAAGAGGTTTGTCTGCCCTGAAGGGGTCGTGGTGAGAGGGGCTGGAAGGGGAAGTCGGAGCCGGGACTTGCAGCTGTAGGGAATGGAGAGGAAGTGGATGTCGGTATCCTTGCGGTCTCATGCCACCCAGGACGCAGAATCCAGCAGGGAAAGGCAGAGAGGGCATCCAGTATAATTGGAGCAGGTTGTGCAGAGCAGCCGAGTGAGAGGCTGAGAGGTGGGCCCCAGATGAAGAATGACAGGAGAGAGGGCCGTGGGCTGGGCCAGGGGTGTCCCCAAGGGGGCGGCTGGAAGCAGGATGACAGTGCAGGTATGGAAATGCGCTACCTGTCCAGGGCAGTTTGTGCTTCTAATCCCCTTGACATTTCCCCCCATCCCTCCACCCACCCTTCGGGCAACCATCAGTTTATTCTCTATCTATGAGCTTGTTTCAGTTGTGTATTTCAGACTCCATATTTAAGTGAAATTATACGGTGTTTGTCTTTCTCTGACTGATTTCACTTACGTCCATTCACGCTGTAGCATAGGGTAAGATTTCATTCTTTTCATGGCCAAGTAATACTCCATATGTATATATGTACCACCATTTTTTGGTCCACCAGCCTGTTGGTGGGCACTTGGGTTGCTTCCACATCTTGGCTATTGTAAATAATGCTGCAGCGAACACAGGAGTCTATACTTTCTTCCAAATTAGTGTTTTGGGTTTCTTCGGGTATATCTCCAGATGTGGGATTATAAGGTAGTTCTGTTTTTAATATTTTGAGGAAAATCTATGCTGTTTTCTATAGTGGCTGCATCAATCTGCATTCCCTTTTCTCCACATCCTCACCAACACCTGGTTGATTTATTGATGATAGCCATTCTGACTGATGTGAGGTGATAACTCACTTCATCTTAATTTTCATCTTTATGATGATTAAGTGACTTTGAGGATCTTTTCATATGTCTATTGGTCATCTCTATGTTCTTTCTAGAAAAGTATCTATTCACGTCCTCTGCCTCCCCCCCCCCTTTTTTTTTTTTAAAGATTTTTAGTTTTAGAGACAGGGGAAGGGAAGGAGAAAGAAGGACAGACACATCACTGTGTGGTTGCCTCTCATGCACCCCCTGCTGGGGACCTGGCCTACAACCCAGGCCTGTGCCCTGACTGGGAATTGAACTGATGACTCTTTGGTTCACAGGCCGGCACTCAGTCCACTGAGCCACAGCAGCCGGGGCTCCTCTGCCTATTTCTTAATTGGATTTTTTTTTTTATGTTGCGATGTATGGATTCTTTATATATTTTGGATATTAACTTCTTGTCAGATATATCATTTACAAATATCTTCTGCCATTCAATAAGTTGCCTTTTTGTTTTATTGATGATTTCCTTTGTGGCCAAAAGCTTTATAATTTAATATAATCCCATTTGTTTATTTTTGCTTTTGTTTCCTTTGCCCAAGGACGTATCTAAAAATTAGTTACAAAGTAGTCTTCTTCCATTTTTTTTGCCTGTATCTGTCAGGTTTTCACAACACCCTTTATTAAAGATACTGCCTCCCCTGCCCCCCCATAAACACTTTATTTTCAGAGAGAAGGGAAGGGAGGGAGAAAAAGGGAGAGAAACATCGACTGGTTGTCTTGTGTATACACCCTAACCTGCAACTGAGCCCTCAACCCAGGCCTGTGTCCTGACTGAGAATCAAACCGGCGACCCTTCAGTTCGCAGGCAGGCACTCAGTCCGCTGGGCCACACCAACCAGGGCCAAAGAGACTGTCTTTATCCCGTTTTATATTCTTTTTTTTTTTAAGATTTTATTTATTTATTTTTAGAGATAGGGGAAGGAGGGAGAAAGAGAGGGGCAGACACATTAGCGTGTGGGTTGCCTCTCACATACCCCCTACTGGGGGCTGGGCCTACAACCCAGACATGCACCCTGACTGGGGATCGAACCCACAACCCTTTGGTTCGCAGGCCAGCGCTCAGTCCACTGAGCCACACCAGCCAGGGCCCCATTTTATATTCTTCCCTCTTCGCTCTCTTATCACAGATGTACCATATAAATGAGGTTTTGTTTCTCAGCTCTCTGTTCTTTTATTCTGCCCCAGGCAGCAGGGCAGTATCGTAGCATCTCCAGAATATCCTGAGGGACAACACCCCCCTTTCGGAGTGCCCTTTGCTGTCCTCAGGGTTTTCATATCCTCCTTGTCACCGTTTCCCACACACATTTTTGGGAAGTGTCTGATGTTTCATTGTGATATATTAAGTTGTACGATTTTTTTTTTTTTTTAAAACCAGGTCATATTTCACTGTTCTTTGAGAATCGTGCAGGGTTTTTTGGTGCTTTTTGTTTTTTGGGTTTTTTTGGCAAACCAGTTGTTTCACTGGAATGCTTTTGTAGCGTGCAGTTGTTTTGATACCCTGTCTGTATGCCCTGCATTCATTCTCTTGAAATGATGAGAAAAACTCGTGCCTCTATTTGTGTACAGAGGGAAATCTGTATCTGTGGGTTCAGAGTCAGACACCCCAGCACGTGTCTGGGCATTTACCTTGAGCCCCGGGGCAGCCCAGGTTGATATGCAGGCCCAGACCTGAGCCGGCTGAGGCCACCTCATCACTGGAAACAGCTCGGCCACCTTGGCTGACCTCAGAGCCTTGGACGGTAATGCCGTGTGGATGGCGTCCTGCCTCCCTGTTCCTCACACCCTAGGGGAATGTCCCTCCGCTCGTACATTCCCCTCTTTTTGGGGGTTTGTGGTCGGCTGGAGGGTGTGGGGGTACCGAGCAGGAGCTGAATCCCTAACTGTTGCCTCACCCCCAGCACTGCCCCCTGAGGTCGGCCGCCCTCTTCACGACAGCTTCTTCAGGTCTGAGGAGAAAATGGAGATGAATTCTCAGCCTGTTCCATTCCAGGTAAGTTAGGTTACCTTTGCTTTCTTTTCCCCCTCAGTCTCCTCAGCTATAACATGGGTCCAGGAATAGCACTCACCTCTTCAGGAGGATGCACACGGGAGACCTGCGGGCTCCCGGCAGATGGAGCACCTTCCCTTTTCCGATGAGCCACCTGTGCTTGGTTCTCTGGACCAGATCTCGCCCCCTCATGTGCTGTGTGACTGCCAGAAGTGGGACGCTGTCTTCCTGGTCACACCAGGACAGCTCACTGCTGAGAAGTTCAGGGGCTCGACCCGGTGTCCAGCCGCTAAATCGCGAGGTACCAAATCGGGCCTGGCGGCCAGGGCCAGGGCCTGGGCTTAGAGCCCACTGCCTGCCAGCCTCCCTTGAGAGCCCCCTCTACCAGGGTTTTCTATAAGGACCAGGTGGTGGAAACTGCCTTAGGTTCTGCAGGACACAGATGGTCTCTGTCCTGTATTCTTTTTGTACACAGCCCTTTAAAGAACATAAAATCCATTCTTAGCTGTATTTGCTCAGGCTGCTGTTAACAAAATACCACAGACTGTGTGGCTCAAACAACATTTATTTTCTTCCAGAGACTAAAAGTCTGAGATCAAGGTGCCAGCAGGGTTGGTTTCTGGTGAGGACTCTTCTTGGCATCAAGATGGTGCCGTCTCTATGTCCTCACATGATGGAGAAAGAAACCTCTGGTGTGTCCTTGTATTGTAAGGTCTCCGATCCCGCCACATTAGGGCCCTACCCTTATGACCCCCATAAATGTTACTTACTTTTGTAAAGGCCCCACCCCCAGATACGGTCACACAGGGGGTAGGGCTTCAACATGTGAATTTGGGGCGAGAACAATCTCACTAGCTCATGGCATTCGCTTTCTGAAAGCACACCACAGTCTTGATTTGTCCCCCACGCTGTGTTTTGCTCATTCCTGATTTAGCATGCCCTCTTTGACTACCCTCACGAATCTGTGATTCTATAGAGGGGCGGGGGATGGGATTCTCCATGTGGGGTTCCTGTTGTTTCCCAGGAGAGAAAGTATGGATCACTGGTGTGATCAATGATAGACTCAGAAGTCAGAATGTCGTGGGTTGGGTCAGTGTCTGATGAGATCAGCGCCCAAAGGCGGGAACCTGTGGGTGCTCTGGACACCATCTCCAGCCTGTGCCCTCTCCCTCCCTTTGCTGGTCTGTCCCACCTCAACCTCCACATCGGGGAGGCATGGCCCCATGGTAACAGGAGTGATGTTTCAGCCACCTCTCAGCTTCAAGGATGTGGTTGTGAGCTTCACGCGTGAGGAATGGGGACGGCTAGACCCGGTCCAGAGGACACTGTACCACGACGTGACTCTAGAGACGTGTGGCCACCTAATCTCCCTGGGTAAGGTGGGCTCTGCCCATCGCGTGGGCTTTCTGCCTCTGGGACTCCAGGCTATGACCCTTCCATGGGTGTGCTGGTGCTGGGGTGGGGCCTGCCGGAAGTTGGTCCCTTTGAGACGCGGGTCCTGGGTGCTGACTCTCAGTCAGACTCCACTGCAGGTCTGTGACTTACTTCCCCAGAATGGCTCTAGGTCCCTCCTAGTCCATCCATGTTTGACCGAGGGGGCAAGGGCTGGGTCGGAGGATGCATCTGTCTTCCTCTCGAAGCATAGCACCAAGTCCTGTGTTTTTCCCCATTGACCAGGGCTTCTGCTCCCCAATCTGGATGTGATCTCCCTCCTGGAGAATGGTGAAGGCCCTTGGAGGGCAGAGCAGGAACCTGCTGCCCGAGGTGAGAGCCCAGAGCTGCCTAAGTTGGAGGTGGAGGGAGGCCATTCGTTGGGAGCTTGCTCGGGTGCTCTGCAGGCACCTCATGTCCATCAAGGCAGCCACTTCCACATCCACGGACCCCGCTCAGGGAGTGCACACGCCACTGTTCAGGCATGGGTTTAGTTCTTTTCCACACTTTCCTTTGGTCTGTACCTTTCACCACCTTGTCTTATTCCCAGGTCCTTCGGACTCTTTGGTGTGGTGAGATCTTATGTATCCTAGAAAACGTCAGCCACCTGTTCCTTTCAGAAGAATTCCTACTATGTTGCCATCTCTGGACCTGCTTGCTAGGTCTTCTCATCCCATAGACCCACCTCCTTGTATATCCCAGCATGTCAGCCTTATTGGAATTTTTTTTTTTAAAGAGCAGTTTACTCATTTAAAGTACCCAAAGGTTTTTAGTATATTCACATCACCAGAATTAATTTAGAACATGTTCATCACCCCAGTTAATTGGGCTGCTTCCCACAGTCATTTTGTTTTAAATAATACATTCTTTAAAATTTATTTTTCAGTTACCATTGACATTTATTACATTAGTTTCAGGTATAAAACTTAGTGATTAGACATTTATTTATATAACTTACAAAGTGATCACCCCAATAAGTCTCTTACACATCTCACACCAGGCATAGTTATTACATTAGTTATTACATTATTATTGACTGTGCTCCCTATGTTGTACTTTATTTATATCCTTATGAATATTTGTATTATTGGTAATTTGTACTTCTTAATCCCTTTTACCTTTTTCACCATAGACTATTTAGAAAACAGTTTTATGTTTATACAAAGTTGAATGGAAGCTACAGAGTTTGCATTTACCTCTCACCCCACACATAAACAATTTCTCCTATTATTTGGCATTCTGTGGTACTTTTGTTACAATTGATGAACCTTTATTGATTGTTACATTATTAATAGTGATCAGTAGTTTACATTAGGTTCACTCTTAGTATTTTACCTTCTGTGGGTCGGATGAATATAGGATGATTTGTATCCACGTATCACACGGAGTAATATACTGCCCTAAAAACCCTCTGTGCTCTGCCTGTCCATCCTTCCTGCCAGCCTTGCTCCTGGGAGCCACTGATTATTTTACTGTCTCTGTAGTCTTTTCTAGAAAGCTCTGTAGTTGGAATAATGCATTCTGTGGCCTTTTCTGATGGACCTTCTTCACGTAACGTCACGCTTGCCATTCTCATCACCTGCAGGCATTGAATTTCTCTCGTGTTTCTGATGCGTCTTACCCTGTAAGTCTCACCTGTAGCCTCTGTCATTTCTTCCTCTGAAATCTCACCTATAGTTGTCCTTGGTCCTCAAATGATGTTCTGAATTCAGTTTACTGGCCACGCCTCCTTCTCTCTGTCATAGAAGTTCTGTTTGGCTGATCTGCAGTTTGTCTTCCTTTTTTCATGATCTTGACAGATGCTGATGTAGAATGTTTAAAACTTTGTGCAGTTTCCAGCAGCCACCCAGAGATTTCTCTTGTCCTTGTCCTCAAATACCCTGTCACTTCCTTTTATTGGGTCATTGTTTCATTTGAAAAAGTTCTCATTCTCACCATTGGGCATTCCAGAACAACACCCCAAATGAACACATGAGAGTTTCAGAAAGGAGAACAGTGTTGGTTGTGGGGGTTGCTGGGTGTAGATAAGGACCTTACCCAAGCGAGAAGGAGGATCTTTGACATGAGGGAAACATCCCCGTGGAAATTAAGGGATAGCCAGGAGTATATTTAATACTTTAAGTGGAGGGTCCTTGTCTCCTTGGCGGGTGTGGAGAACAAAGGATGCGGAATTGAGCAGAGGCCTTGATGATACAAGATGCAGGTGGTCACATGACTGAGATGGACAGAGTGACCAATATAGGGGGAATTTTGGAGAACCCCAGTGAGAGTCCTATGCTAGGAGCTTAGAGCCACAGAAGGAGGAATCAATAACAAGGGTTATGATGTCAGTAGTACTGTGTGCTAGCAATGTGTCATGTCCCAGACACAGTGAAGCTCACTTGTTGACTCATTTATGCCTCAAAATAAACCTGGCAGGCTAAACATTCTTATTCCTGGCTTACCACTGAGGAAGATGATCCTCAAAAGTCACCAGTTGGAGGAGGACTGGCTACCACACTGCTTCATGGACCACTGTGCTTTTCTGGGGAGTCTGTGGCATCAATTCTGGAATGGTTAAAGCAATACTTTTCTCCCTAGACAGCTGGAAGGAGTGATAGAAATGGTGCCTTATGGCTATTAAGTTATTCTGGTGTTTGGACCCTGTTATAAGGTTCAAAATCAGAAAATAAGATTCTAGTCAGAAATTTAGGTTGACATACAAGTTCCTGTATTAGTTTCCTGAGCTTCTTTAACGAATTGTCACTGGGTGGTTTAAAGCAACACAAATTATCTCTGGCTCATATGACTCAGTGGGTTGAGTGCCTGGCCTGAGAACCGAAAGGCTGTGAGTTTGATTCCCGGTCAGGGCACATGCCTGGGGTGCAGAGTCAACCAATCAGTGTTTCTCTTACTCATTGATATTTCTCCCTCCCTCTCTCTAAACAGTAAATAAAACCTTTGAAAAGTAAAAAATTAACAATGCAAATTTATTCTCCCACCATTCCTGGAGGCCAGAAAGCCGAAATATCACTATCAGCAGGGCCATGTTCTCTCAGGCGGCTACAGGAGGAAATCTGTTCCCTGTCTCTTCCAGGTTCTGGTGGCTGTGTCATTCTTTGGTTTTTGCCCACATCACTTCAGTCTCTTAAGTCCAGCATCTTCAAATTTCTGCTCTGTGTTCATGTTTCCTTATCTCTGTGTATTCATTCACTCCTTCCCTAATTCCATCTTATAAGGACACTTGTAACCTTTAGGGCCAGATAATTTCCCCATCTCAAGACCCTCAACACTTCTGCAAAGACCCTTTTTCAAATATGGTACCATTTTCACAGGTCCCAACATTTGGACATAGGTATCTTTTGTGTTTATTGAGGTCCATATACCTTTAGACTCAGTACTTTCTGTGGATTTTTCCTTTAATCTTTACGTCTTGTGCCTGTTCTTATTCCTCTGCTCCCACTTTGGGGACCAGTTCTCTTGGATTATCTCATTACCTTTGCTTTTTTTTTCATATGTTATCACTGGTTCCCTATGTATCAGTGATCCATCCTCCTCTTTTACATCATGCATGAAATTACAGTCCATGGATTCGAAACAAACCCAGAGACACCTCTCATAGTTGGTGTTTTCTTTGTTCCCCTCCCACCTTAAGGCGTCTGCAGTAATTGGGGCATTTTGGATTTCTTTCAGACTGGAAGACTACACATGAAAAGAAAGAGTTACCTTCTGAAGATACTGCTGTGGAAGAACCATCTTTCCACATAAAAATGAAACACTGTGTAGAAGGCCCCTGGCCTGTGCAGCGTTGGAGGGCCCAGCCATTGGAGCGCCAGGAGGAACCTTTCAGTCAAATTCTACTTACCTTGCAGGAGAGACCGTTTGCTCAAGAGGAACATTGTAAGCATGACCTTGGGGGAAGTTGTCAGAGTAAAAGCCTTCTACCTCCATCATTACCCGCAAAAACTCATTTCCACCAGCTTGACTCGCAGGCTCAACAGTTGAAACAGAGTTCAGTTTTTGTTAATCATCAGAAAGGCTGGACCAATCGGAAGCCCTGTGAAAATCCTGAAAGTGCCAGAGCCTTCTCTCAAAACATTCACTTGCATAAACTTGAAGATGTTGAAACAAAAGATAAAAGTCCTCACGAATATACTGTCAGGAATGACTCTTTGAACTGCGGTGCCTCTGTTCGTTTCTGTAACAGAATTTTTTCAGCAGAGAACAGCAGTGATTGTAAGGCCTATGGAAATGTCATTAACCATAGCATGTCTCTGAATGAAAACAAGTCATTGCATTTTGGAGAATGTCAGTGTGAGTGTGACAAATGCTTTGTGCAAACTGAAGTAATTGTTGGATATCCTAGATGTGAGAAGGAATGTACTGCCTTCCACAAGGCCTCATCTTTTAGTGATTGTGACATCAATCAGATGAGAAGGAAGCCACATGCATGTAATATGTGTGGAAAATCTGCCAGCTGTTGCTCTAAGCTTGTACACCAGAGAACACACACTGGAGACAAGCCATGTAAATGCAGTCGTTGTAGTAAAGCCATCACTGGGAGCTTTCACCTTTCACATCAGAGAATTCACTTGGACGAGAATCCCTATGAGTGTAATGACTGTGGGAAATCTTTTAGACAGCAGTCACAGCTTGTTGTACATCAGCGAGTCCACGCTGGAGATAAACCTTATGAATGTAATTATTGTGGGAAAGCTTTCAGGTGGAGATATCTCCTCATTGTGCATCAGAGAACACACACTGGAGAGAAGCCCTATCAGTGTAATGTGTGTGTTAAAGCCTTCAGTGGTCGGTCAGCTCTTAGGAAACATGAGAGAACACACACAGGTGAAAAACACTTTGAATGTAATGATTGTGAAAAATTCTTTAACCGGCAAAGTCACCTTACTAGGCATCAGAGAAGTCATACTGCAGGGAAACCTTATTTGTGTGCTCAGTGTGGAAACTCTTTCAGTCGTAGCTCTGACTTTGTTGCACATAGACGGATTCACACTGGAGAGAAACCCTATGAATGTAACCACTGTGGGAAATCTTTTTGGCAGCAATCACAGTTGCTTGTGCATCAACGAGCTCATACTGGAGAGAAGAAATTTTATGAATGCAGCCATTGTGGAAAAGGTTTCAAATGGCGATCTCACCTCATTCTGCATCAGAGAACACACACTGGAGAAAAGCCCTATGAATGCATTGATTGTGGGAAAGCCTTCAGTGATGGATCATCTCTTAGAAAACATGAGAGAACACACACTGGTGAGAAACCCTATCACTGCAACCACTGTGGGAAATCTTTCCGACAGCAATCGCAGCTCGTCGTGCATCAGCGAACCCATACTGGAGAGAAACCTTATGAATGCAATCATTGTGGAAAAGCTTTCAGCCAGAGGTCTATCCTCACTGTTCATCAGAGAACACACACTGGAGAGAAGCCCTATAAGTGTAAAATTTGTGTTAAAGCCTTTAGCCAGAGATACCTCCTCATTGTGCATCAGAGAACACACACTGGAGAGAAGCCCTATCAGTGTAACATGTGTGTTAAAGCCTTTAGTGGTCGGTTAGCTCTCAGAAAGCATGAGAGAACGCATACAGTTGAGAAACCCTGTTAATGAATGTACTCATTGTGAAAAAGTCTTTACTGGGCCATGTCACTGTACTGGGCATCAGAGAATTCACACTGGAGAGAAACCATATTTTTGTGCTCATTGTGAGAAGTCCTTCAGCAATAACTCTTATTTTTGTTTCACATAAAAAGATTCACACTGGAAAGAAACCCTATGAATGTTACCACTGTGGAAAGACTTTTTAGCAGCAGTTAGTTTGTGCATCTGTGAATTTAACCTGGAGAGAAAAAACCTTATGAATGCAGTCATTGTTGAAAGGTTTCAAATGGAGAGCTCTTGTGCGTCAGAGAACACACACCAGTAAGAAACCCTATAAATGTAATCATTGTGAAAAGGCTTTTTCTGGTGTCAGACTTGCCTTGCTAGGCATCAGAGAATTCATACTAGAGAGAAATCCTATAAATGTCACAAATGTGGGAAGGCTTTCAGGTAAAATAAATCACTTATTCAATATTAGAAAACACATGCGAGAGAAACTCTATGAATAGTTAAGATGGAAAAGCTCTGCCAAAACTTGAGACATCAGATGACCACATGCATCAGAACTGCATGGAGTGCGTATTGAAGCTGCAGAATACCAAGCTTACCCTAATGTACTAAATCAAAACTCTATCAATAAAACCCAGGATCCCATCATTTCCTAAAGCAGCATGTTATTTGTACATGCACTAAAATGTGTTTACTTCTGTGTTTATGTGAGAAGGTAAACTTTCAGTCAGAGTTCATAGTAAAAAAACAGAAAATTCAGAACTGCGTTTACCATATTATCATTTTATTGCAAACAGCCACGTAAACAAATCAGAAGTTACCTGTATAACACATTTCTAAAAAATGGTGGGGGACGGGAAGATACTATGTACCCAAAAAAGGCTGACACGCATATCAACAGTGGTGAAAATGTGAGAGGCTATTACTGCAGATTTGAACAAAGTGAAAGCAGGTGGGACAGCATCACCTGGAGACAGATATTGTGAAAGGCTGAAGCCAGGACTGTGAAGAGAGGGTTGAAGTACTGGAGGTCACAGCCCCTTGGCAGAATTGCAGACTCCGGTGTGGCAGGAGAGCAGGATTAATTAAACTCTGTTCATGAAATTCCAGATGTCCTCCTCTTCTACTATTCTTGTCCTGTTTACAGTATTTGGCTGTGGGTGAGCAAAATAAAATAGGGAATGAATTAGTTATGAAAAGAAATATGTGGTCTAGGGACTAGGAAATTGGTGTATTATGCTCCAGAACAAAGGCTGCCCTTATCTTAGTATTTCAAGGACCATTATCTTAACACCTGGTTCCTGCCATATTCCCTTCGAAGAGTACCATTAAACCAGCCCCACCATGTATGGAAACTCCCATATACTTTCTGTTAGTCACTTCAATGTGGATGGAAGGCAGGGAGCGTGAGACTTGACAGCCTTCAACGTGAAAGAAAAAATGAGATAAAAGAGGGAGAAAAAAAAAAAAACAGCCCAAGGAGGACACATATTCAGGGAACCAAACATTTAAAATGGAGATTGAGCCTAGCTGGTGTGGCTCAGTGGATTTGAGCACTGGCCTGCAAACCGAAGTGTCGCAGGTTCGATTCCCAGTCAGGGCACATGCCTGAGTTGTAGGCCAGGTCCCCAGTATGGGGTGCATAGGAGGCAACCACATATTGATGTTTCTGTCCTCTTTCTCCCTCCTTTCCTCTCTAAAAATAAATAAATAAAATCTTTAAAAATTAAAATGGAGGTTGAGTCAGAAATAATTGCAAATGAAAAATAAATGCAAGATAAAAAGAACAAGAAGAGACAAATTAAAAGTAAGATTTGCTTTAAAAAGGAGAGAAAAGGAAGTTTTTGCAGAGCTGAAAGAAAATCTTAGAATTACTATCTAGGAGTAGTGTGATCCGTGCAGCATGACAAATTGAGAACAACAGTTAAAAAGAAATTGCAGAAACTACTGAAGAGAATAATTTTGAAGCTAAGAATAGGAATAGGATTTAAAGAAAAGGAATGTTCTAACGAGGTAAAAAACCATAACCAGGGGGTTCAGAGTAAACAAATAGAGAAAATACAAATGCTGTACAAAACAGTTATAGTCCAGATGAACCAAACTTTAAAAGGAATATTTGACTCTGATATATTTCTTCCTAGAAAAGGCAGCGCTCATAAAATTGAGAAAAATATAATCACAGTTTTTTTTCTTGGCCGTTCACTGAACACAGTTTTCATAGGTACTGTTTTTTTTTGTTTGTTTTTACATTTTACAAAGAAACAGAGCTGTAATATGCAGGTTTCATAATGATGAAGTTGGGGTGGGGTGGGGCACAGATGGGATGTAGATATCCCTGTATCCTCATTTTAGAAAGTGAGCTTTTAAATAAAATAGGTTCCTTAGGAGACCAAAACTAGGATTCCAGTGATAGGACAAAAATAGCAAGCCAACAGAGGAGCAGAGACATAAGTAAAATCTTAAGTCCTTATAGATAAGAAGTCAGTAAATTCTATAGGCCATGAACACAATTGTAGCTGTAGCCTCTGGAGAAACTGGGATAGAAGGGATTAAAAGGGGATGGGCTCTATTACTGTTCAGCAGGGTGGTACGGGAGACAGCTGCTTTCCATTGTAAGCCTGTAGTCTTTCCTTCCCTGGTACTCTTCTTACTTGAGTAATTTCATGTGTGCCTATAAGTGAGCAAAACACACTACATGAAGACATTTGCAATTGATTGTGATTTTGTACAATTTTTAAGTATTACTATAAAAATGGCAATTTGAACAAGAGTAAGAAGAAAATACAACAGACTCTTCTATTTGGCCAATTAGAGTTGGTTCTAGTGGGGCGAGAAGGCTCCTTGGCTTCTTAGAAGTCCTTTTGGTGACATGATACTGCAGAAGCCTTATCACGAGAAAGTCACTGGGGCCCTGGAAAGGGGCTTGATATTCTGGGACAACTGCAGAATCTCTGAAGGGGCAAGACATGTGTGAATTTGCATAACCACCAGGTACTGAATGTATTTCCCCAGGGTCCCTCTGGCAGTTACCTGCTACCTTTCATAAAACCTCTTAGGTTACAGCTTTCATGATTCATATGGGACCCCGAGATTGAGGTGAGTCTGAGCAGAGCAGCTGGGGATTTTGCTTCCTGTTGTGACAGCAGGTCCTGCTGCTGAGACCAACGAGGTTGTGTAGCATTCAGGATACTGGAGCCTGGGAGGAAGGGCCGGCCCAACAGATTCAGCAAAATGAACGTTTAACATTCTAGTGGTCCAGATAGTTAAGAGCAAGTTTCATTCAGGAAGTCCTGAAAGTAGCTTTGTTTAATGAAGGCGCTCCTGGAAGCTCAGTTACGGAAGGTGTGTGCGAAGTCACAGGGTGATGTTCCTTTTCTCCAGAATTCGGAGTCAGAGGGGCTGTTTGGTCTTGTGCATCTGGAGATGACACCCATTGTAAATCAGGCGGGAAGATGGGTTACTCTGCAGGAAATGGGAGGACAGTATGAATATGCAGTGAGTTCTGAGAGGTATCCTGCCCTTTAACAAGTCAGAAACCTGAGAATCTTAAGGACCCAGTAACTGCACTTAATTGAAATGAGAACCGGAGACCTTTCCTCCTGAAAATGATTCTCATAATTAGAGGCTAGTAATAACTAATGGAAATGTGTGTAAGACCCACCTGAAAGGAAGTGTTGGAATTGTGGGTTTCTGGATCCACCTTCAGAGAGTTCACTTGGCCAGACTGAGGTAGAACTTATTTGCATAGTTTGAGGACAGTTCTTTAAAATTGCATTGATTTTAGAGAGAGAGAAATATCAATTTATTGTTCCACTCACTTAAGCATTGCTTGATTCTTTTATGTGTCCTGACTGGAGATTGAACCCACATCCTTGGCATGTCAAGACGATGTTTTAATCAACTGGTCTACCTGGCCAGGTCAGGACACTTTCTATGGCTGTATTTTTAAACATTTTGTAAAGAATAATCTCAAAATTATATATTTATATACACTTCTTTTGTTGGTTTCACTTAAATTTGTGATTTAGGCAAAAAGAAGACCCAAAAGAGGAACCACACCCATTTCATGTAACTGCAGAGCTGCATTTATTTTGCTTCCTAAAAAAAAAGATTTTATTTTTAGAGAGAAGGGAAGGGTGGGAGAGAGGTAGAGAAATATCAATGTATGGTTGCCTCTTGTGCACCCTCCACGGGGACCTGGCCCACAACCCAGGCATGTGTCCTGACTGGGAATCAAACTGATGACCCCTTGGTTCCCGGACTGGTGTTCAATCCACTGAGCCACACCAGCCAGGGCTATTTTATTTGCCTTTTTAAGTTCATTTTTTGTACTCCTCCACCCCCGCAATCACCACACTGTTGTCTGTGTCCATGAGTTCCTTTTTTGGGGGGAGACAGGCTGCTTTCAACAAATCCATCCTCCCTCTCCACTTGAAAATACAGATACCGAAGTAACCTTAAAGATATTTTGGATACAACCAGCAGTGTAGTGACTGGAGACCCAGAAGATCACCCCCACATCCAGAGGTTTTCCACAAGGTTTCATGGGACTCCACATACAGTTGTATGCATGGCTAAGATTTATTGCAGTGATATACCAAGGATAAACAGTTTATGCATAAAGGAAAAGACAGTCTCGGGGAATCCATGTGCAGGTTTGAACTGCTCCCCCTCCTTTGAGGTGGTCACACAAAGCAGTGGGGACCAGGCAAGCAGGCACCATCTGCCCAGGATGGACCAAAGTCCAGTCTCCCGGAAGGGAAGCAGGCTCGGTGTAAATGAGTTTCTTTTTTCTTTTCTTTCTTTTTTTTTTGTATAGTCTAGGCACAGTGAGACATAAGACACCACTCTAAAAGTCCATCTGCAAAGAGGACCTTCTAAAATGTGCAGCCTCAGGCCTGCTGTATTCCTCTTTTTTGCATAAGGTTTCATATCTCTTCAAATATGAATACAATTAGCCATATTCACAGTACCTGTTGCATTAAGCTGCTTAAACTGCAGCTCTGACTACACATAAGGAGAAAGCACATGGGTCATACAGTTCCTGCTTCAGACTGGTTTTCAGGAACCTGTCACAACTCAGTGGTCTTGGCATTTCTTGCCATGATACTATCTTGTAGACTTGAATCCCATTTGGACTCCTCCAGGTTTAGCTAAGTGCCAGGGTTTTGATAAGAGAACAAAAAAAACATTGATGTGAGAGAGAAACAGATCGGTTGCCTCCTGACGAGGGACTGAACCTGCAGCCCAGGTATGTGCCCAGACTGGGAATCAAACTTGCAACTTTTTGGCTCATGGGATGATGCCAACAACTGAGATACCTGGCCTACGTGCAAAAACATTTAAAAATTTTTTTTTAAATGATTACTTCTAAACCTAAGATCCTTATGGTGGAAAGAAAGAGGGAAGAGGAGCAAGAGGGAGAGACATTTAAGAGGTAATATTTCCCAAGCCAGGTTCACATTTATAATACTAACAAACATTTTTCACTTCTCACCATTCTACTAGTTCATTGGGGTCAGCTGGGTGACTTCTCACTTACGGTCCCTCATACAGTTTCAGAGGCAGCAACTGCTGGAGTCCCCTGGAGACTCAGCATCAAAGACGGCCCACTCCGAGACTGGAAATAGGAGCTGGCTGCCATTTATGAACTCAGCCTGGACTGTTGGCTGCAGCACTCACATTGGACTTCACAAGACCTGGGCTCCTCTCAGTAGGGTGACTGGATTCCAAGAGAGAATATCGCAGAAATCAGCGTTTCAGTTCCTTATGATATAGCCTCATAAGTTACACATGATCACTTAGCCATATTGTATTGGATACCCAGTCAGGGTCAGCCCAGAGTCAAAGGGAGGGGAAATAAATTCCACCTCTGAAGGGGAAGAGTGACAAAAGATTTGGGGCCGTATTTAATTCACTACAGTCTCAATGTAATAGAGAAGGAGGAATATAGAGTAACACTCAAATTATGATAGAAGACTGAGTAGCCTGAGGTGACATGAAGGTGCAAGCTTGAAATGCAAGAACAATATGTGTGAATGCATTCATGTTACATTGAGGCAGCTAAGGGACATCAAGGTGGAGCTGTCTACATCAAAATGTTAGCCAAGGTCAGGAAAAGTCTTGATACATGTCTTTATTTACTTAACTCTCACAAGAAGACGTCAAAGTGTGCTCTTTGAGCACATAAAGATCACTTGCTGTGATTTTTGCCTGAAGACTTTCCCCCTACATATTCCCATGGTTTCCCTCTCTGATCTCCAGGTCTGGCCTCACATGTCCCCTCCTCAGTAATGGCTTTTCAAGCACATAGGAAAATGCTGTGAGCATGCTCCAAAGGGATTTTTTAAAAGCCCTTTTACACTGAGATTATCTATTTATTTAGAAGCATTGATTTTGTTCCACTTATTTATGCATTAATCACTTGCCTCTTGAATGTTCCCTGACAAGGGATTGAACCCACAACCTGGCGCATCCCAACAATGCTTCAACCAACTGAACAACCTGGCCAGGGCAAGGGGTTTTAATTTTATCTTTTTTTTTTTTTAATTGATTGATTTCAGAGAGGGAGAAAGAAACATTGATTTGTTGTTCCACTTATTCATTTATTGGTTGATTCTTGTAAAAAAAAAAAAAAGATAAAGCTTTATCTAAAAAGAATAAAAATAGTGGCACAAGTTTCAATACAACCACCAGTTTTCACAAAATAAGAAGACCCCTTCAGTCTTAAATTGAGGACTCCAAATAGTTTTTGTAGGTTCTTTCTATCAATATTTGCTTTATTAGAAATTAAAACAGGAAAATATTTTGTTTAAATAAATTTATTGTATGCTAGGTGTTGAATGGTGTTCCCTGGAAGTTCATATATTGAAGTCCTAACCCCATAGCTCAGAATGCAACCCTACTTAGAGACAGGGTCTCTGCAGAGGTGGTTAAAGTAAAATCACCTCACTAGGGTGAGTCCAGCTCCAATACAACTGGCATCCTTACAAAAGGGGAAATTTGGAGACAGACACCCACACAGGGAAGTCTAGTCTCGTTTTGTTCCTTTGTATTTGACCCACTTTACCCTTATTCTTAGAAATATATATATATAATTTCGCCCTGTGTGGCTCAATGGATTGAGCACCGGCCTGCAAACCAAAGGGTCCTTGGTTCGATTCCCAGTCAGGGCACATGCCGGGGTTGGGGGCTGCGTCCCCAGTAAGGGGTGCACGAGGTGCAACCACACATTGATGTTTCTTTCCCTTCCCATCTGTCTAAAAATAAAAAAAAAAATCTTTAAAAAATATATTTTTTTAAATTCTCAATATCCGAGGATATTGAGGAGGTTTTTATTGATTTGGGGGAGAGACAGAGGTGGGGAGCAGGGGAGAGAAACATCGACTGGTTGCCCCACCAGGATCAACCTGCAAGCTAGGTATGTGCCCCTCCCGGAATTGAACCCGTAACCCCCCTTGTGTATGGGAGGACGTTCCAATCAATCTACCTTACCCCGGCCAAAAATAATTTTAAAAGTATAAGGCAGTAGGAACCCCAAGGATAAAAGAAGGGAGCCCCAGGCCCGACTTTACACCACCTCATCACGTCCCAGCGTGTAGATTGCTCTGAGGGGACAGCCAGGCAAGGGCTGCGGACACAGGAGGCTGGAAGGCGGCTTCCCTGCGACGCCGCCTCTCTCAGGTGATGGAGGCCCAGGTCGCCCCACACCGTCGCTAGGATCACAGCATGGAGCCTCCGAGGCCACCATTGGCCGGAAGCGGGCGGGTGGAGGCTCCCATTGGCCCGAAGCCAAAAGGCTCCCATTGGTCGAAGAAACAACAAACGAAGACTCCATTGGTTGGGCGTTACAGCCCGCCGCATGGCATTCTGGGAGTTGTAGTCTCAGCGTTGCCGGTGCGACCGCCATTGTCCAGCGGCCAGCGAGACGAGCTGCCTGCTTGGGAAGACGGTTCTTGCGTTTAGAGTCGCCCGGGGCTCCTGTCCTCGACCTGTCGGTCCAGGATGGAACCCGAGGAGCGGGCGGCCGCTTTGGCGATGGCTACGGGGCCTCCGACGGAACGACTTCAGGTAACAATAACAATAACAGTGGCAGCGGGCCCGGCCAAACGTCTCTCTCAGATATTGACCCTTTAACGCTCGCGGTGAGCGGGGCCCAGCGGTTATCCCGCGTTACACACAAGGAACCTGAGGCGCAGGTCGGCGCGCGCTGCCTGGCCCCGCTGCTAAGGGCGAGGTCGGAATTCGCACCCGGGCCCAGCAGTCCCCCAGTGCGCATGCTCAGTTGGTCGTCTGGCGGCTACCCTACCCGCCTTCCCGAAGGCCGAACCCTGCGTCGATGGGTACTGGGTGCTGTCGGCTGAGGATGCTCTGATGCATGGAGTCGGCACAGGGCCCGGCTCCGCGCAGCCCAGGCCTGGGGACGGGGCACTACGGGGAGGGAGAGGGGACGGAGAGGGCTCTGCGCACCCCGTTAGTGGGGCGGAACGGCAGCCAGGCCCCTCTCGAACACCCCGCCGGGCTGTGGGGGCAGCCACGCAGGGCAGCCAGTGCTTGCAGGACCCTGCGGGCAGGCCCCCATCCACAGCCTCAGCGGTTCCGGGCACCCTGGCCGCTGCTCGTGTCCTTCTTAAAGTGGTTTTTCTCCACGTTGGCGTAATTCCTGAAGCTCGTAGCTTTAAACTTAGGTGTGTCCTGTCCTTTTTCTTTTTTTTTTTTTTTCTCCCTGTCTTGTCATCCTCACCTGAAGATATGTGTATTGATCTTAGAAAGGAAGGGAGAGAGCGAAACCTACATCAGGTGCCTCCTGTACACGCCCCGGCTGGGGATTGAACCCGCAATCTTGTGGTGTGCAGACGGTGCTTGAACCAGCTGACCCACCTGGCTAGGGGACTCCCTGTCCTGTTGTTGTTGTTGTTGTTGTTGTTGTTGTTGTTGTTGAGAGGGGTTGGCATCGTTTCCGACTTGGTACGCGCAGTGTGACTCTCCGTCGTCTTAGATACGCGTGCTTTAGGACGTGTGTTTCAGATCGGCAGGAAAATGCCACCATCTCTTAGTTTGCTTTGGCTCGGGGCGGTGGGGCAGGGAGTGAGCAGTCTCAGAGGAAGTCAAGAGTTGGACCAGAGGTCAAGCAGCAAAAACAGGTTGTTTTCAGAACGCTTGCGGGGGAAAGAAAGAGACTTCATTGTAGAGTCAGGCTTCAGTTCTGAACCCAGCAGGAAAACGGGGCTTTATAACGGGCGGAAGAAAGGGGCTGCTTGCTGACGCAGGCCAGGGGGTCAGGTTACCAAATGACCGTGGGAGATGAGAACTTTGAAAAAGATGTGAGTAGTGATCATATATGGAGGATGGGAATCCCAGCTAAACTGACCTGAGAGTATTTTTGAGAAAACTAGGTGACGTGCAAATGGACGCAGAAACTTAGACGTCAAGGCTTAGATGAAAAGAGCGTTCAGAGGCGCTAAAGTTTGGTCAAGGAGAGAGCCTTTATCAGCAGTAAGAGAGGCTTAGGAGGAAGTTTATTCGTTATCTGTGGCTGGGTAACAAAGGACCAAAAAAATAGTGACCTAAAACAATAATAAATACCTCACAGTTTCTTTCTTTTTTTTTTTTTAAGTTTTTATGTAATTATTTTTAGAGAGAGGGGAAGAGAGGGAGAAACAGAGGGAGAGAAACATCAGTATGTGAGAGAAACGTCAATCAGTTGCCTTTCACACACCTCCAGCCGGAGGGACCTGGCCCACACCCAGGCATGCGCCCTGACCAGGGGACCTTTGCTTTGCCGGAAGGCACCCAACCCACTGAGCCACATCAGTCAGGGCACCTCACAGTTTCTGATGATGGGGGTCCTGCCCTGGGCTTCTGACATTACGGTCAGGGTATCAGTCTGGATTGCTGTCCCTTGGGACTTGACTGGGTCTGGAGGGTCCACCTCCGTGATGGCTCAGTCAAGCGACAGGTGGCAGGAGGCCTTAGTTCTTTCCCATGTGGGTGTCTCTGGAGCGGCTTCGGTGTCCTTGCAATGAGGCGTCTGGCTTCCCCTTGAGTGACTGATCCAGGAAAGGGCCCGGTGGAAGCCACAATGCCTTTTGTGACCTGAGGTCACAATTCCCACTCTGACATTTCCACAAGAATTCCTACTCTGTCAGTCTCCTATCAGTTACGGGAGTCAAACCTACTTGGTATAGGAGGGGACCACAGAAGAACTGGGGATGATGGGGGGGCATTTTGGAGGCAAAAAGCAGAGTGGAGGGTGTGTTAGCGTCATGTAATTGCTGTAATACTACCACACACTTGGTGGCTTAAAACAACACACATTGATTCTTACATTCTGGAGGGCAGACGTCTGAGATTAGTGTCATTGGACTGAAATCAGGGTGTGGGAAGAGCCACCCTGCCTGTCCAGACTCTAGTGGGGAATCCATCTCCGCACCGTTGCTGCTGGCGGAGAGGGCTGTAGACCCTGCCCTCCTTGGCTGCTGGCCCTTTGCCCGTCTTCAGAGCCAGCAGCGTAGCGTCTTGCCTTAGTGATCATACTGCCTTCTGTCCTCTGTAATGAAGTGTCCCTCTGCCTTCCCCTTAGAAGCACATTTATTACTGCATTTAGGGCCCACGTGGATAATCCAGGATAATCTCACCATCTTAAAATCCTTAAACACATCCACACACTCCTTTTTGTCATTCATGGTAACATTCAGAGGTTCCTGGAATTAAGAACCAGATATACTTGGGGGTCATTATTCAGCCAACTATAGTCAGGTTAAGGGGGTCACCTGTATCTAGTGGTGAGGAGTCATTCAGGTATTTTAAGCAGGAATGGCATGGGTTTGAGAAAAATCAGTCAATAGTATGAGGGTGAGAGTAGGAGAGATACTGAGAACCGAAGCACTAGAGGGAGGAGGCTGGGTGCCGGCCGATGCCAGGGTGGCCTGGTCAGATTGGGAGAGCATGTGGGTCTGACGCCTCCCATCCCTCCAGGCCCCAGCCGTGCAGAGCAAGAGGGGGGCTGCCGGGGGCTGATGTGGGGCAGCCAGGACAGTCATGAGACAGCAAGGAGTGGCCTCCTGCTAGAATCCCAGGAGGAGACATGAGGAACTCATGTGAGAGGTCTGGTGGCCTAGACGGACCAGTGGTCAGTGCATCCAGTGCCTGGGCTCTCACTGGCAACCCGTGCAGAATGGGTGATGGCGGGCAGGGGCAGGAGGCGCGGGGAGCGTGTGTCAGGGTTGAAGGACCTTTGGAATGGGAGGTGAGGAGAGCCAGGCAGGAGGAGAGGCCTCTGTTCCCAGTCAGAAGGTTCTGCATGTTTTCTGCATAATTTTTGTCAGAGCCACATGCCACCCTGTACTATAATTTCTTTAATATTAAAAAAAAAAGTACTTGTGTTTTTCTTTTTTAAAAAAATATTTTATTTATTTTTTAGAGAGAGGAGAAGGGAGGGAGACAGGGAGAAAAATATTGATCTGTGAGAGAAACATTGGTTGCCTCTCTCATGCCCCCAACCGGGACCTGGACTGCAACCTAGGTGTGCGCCCTGACTGCAAATCAAGCCAGCGACCCCAAGGCTTTACTTGTGCCTTTTCTTTTCTTTTTTTTTTTTTTTTTTTTAAGAATATACTCTTTTAAAAATGAGGTATTTGAGCCATGGCTGGGTGGCTCAGTTGGTTGGAGCATCATCCCATGCACCAAAAGGTTGCAGGTTTGATCCCAGTCAGGACACATACCTAGGTTGCGGGTTTGGTCCCGTTGGGTATGTACAGGAGGCAACTGATCGATGTTCCTCTCCCTCCCTTCCTCTCTAAAAACCAGTAAACATATACTTGAGTGAGGAATAATAAAAAATAAAATTGAGGCATTTGATACATGATTTCGATTTGCATTTTTGTTTTTGCATCTTTTCTTGTGATTATTTACTACTTTTTTTGTATTTCCTTTGATATCTTTTATATTTCCTTTGTTTTATTTAGGTTGCCTTTATTATTGATTTACAAGAGTTCTTTGTATCTTCTGGATACAAGTCTTTTATCAGATATGTGATTTGTAGTTATTATCTCCCATTATGTGGGTGTCTTTTCATTAGAGTGTCCTTTGGGGCACAAAAGTTTTTAATTTTGATTAAGTTCAATTTATTTACTGCTAGTGCTTTGGAGAACCCATTTTAAGGATTGTTTGCCAAATCCAAAGTTATGAAGATTTATCCGTATGTTTTCTTCTAAGAGTTTAATAGTTTCAGCTTTTACATTTAAGTTTTTAATACATTTTGAGGTTTTTTTAATATATGGTGTGAGGTAGGGGACTGACTTTATTCTTTTGCATATGACTGTCCGATTGTCTTGTAGGAAGTGTTTTAGAGCCATTTAGTCCCTTTCATAGATAAGAGTCAAGGAAGTAGATAGACATGGGTTCCTGCTCGTGCGTCCTGAAGAGGAAGTGACAGAGCCAGGACTCTGATCCAGAAGTATCCAACTTTTGACTGTAGCCACAGCCAGTCCACAAAAAAGTTCTGTTTGTAGGACACATTTCTCCTCACCAGAGATGGGTCGTTCTACCCACTTGGGGCCTGTATTTCCCTCTGATCAGTTGTCTCTGAGTCCCAGCTGCCCCTTCAGACAGGACATATATTAGCTGTCCCCTCCAGTGTCACCTCTCACAGATTAAATACCCTGGGAGGCTCTTACACTGGCCCACTTCAGTCACTTGTGAGCCTGTGCCGTCCCTGAAGGTAGGTGAGTTTCTCTTAACTGTACAACCTTCTTTTCAGATAGCATGACAAACCTTGCTTTGAATCTGAGGACGAGTGTATCAGTTAACTGTAGCTGTGTAACAAACGATCCCAAACCTCGTGCTTGGAAACAGTAACCATTTCCATAGCCCACAGATCTACAAGTCAGCAGTGGAGAGAGGCCTCTGTCAGCACCCTCACCTGTCTGAAGTCGGTTGTAGGTTAGTTGTGGGGCGGCTTTGGTCGTGTCTGGATGCCCTCACATGTCTTCTCTGCATAACCCACACCTACAGGCCGCAGCCCAGCAGGTGCCCGACGCGTCTTGGCTCACGTTGCCCGGAACCTGTACTCTCTCAGGACACTGGCCTATGCGTCTTCTCCTTCCCCATTCCTCTTCCTCTTCCTGAAAACTCTGATGGGGGAAATCCCTCTGATTGAGCATGTGTGTGATATTTCAGGAGCCAGTGACCTTCCGGGATGTGGCTGTGGACTTCACTCGGGAGGAGTGGGGGCAGCTGGGCCCTGCCCAGAGGACCCTGTATCGTGACGTGATGCTGGAGACCTTTGGGCATCTGCTCTCTGTGGGTAAGACCCGCTTCCCACGCTGAGGGGCAGATTCCTGCAGTCGCTTATCCTTCATGGCTTACAGGTTGTAGGGCCCCTGGTGTGAGGACTTGACTTGGGGCTGGGGATCAGGGACCTTGGGTTCTCCTTTTCTGTGGAACACGCGGGCACGGGGGTGTCTGCCCTTTTCTCGCCCCTGCAGAGCCTTCGCCATGTTGTGAGATGTCCCCGTGTCCTCATGGTCAGGAGTAGGGGTGCAGGCTGGGCTGGTTCTTTCCAGCCAGAGCAGAACCCCACATTCTCTGTTTTTACCTGTTTTCAGGGCCTGAGCTTCCCAAACCCGAGGTCATCTCCCAGCTGGAGCAAGGAGCCGAGCTGTGGATGGTGGAGAGAGGAATTGCCCAGGGACACTGTCCTGGTGAGAACCCGCTAGGTGTGGTGTGTTGGGGTCCTGAGGCCATCTGCAGATCCAGTGATCACAGCAAAAGATTAAGGGGAAAGTCAGAAAAAGGGAAAGGTGGGTGGGGCAAAGTCCAGAGGAATCCAGGCTCAAAGACACTCCCCCAGTGGGGCTGAGTCTATGCTGGTTGTTGCAGCAGCCAAAGAAAACGGGTTCCCCTTCACCTCACTGCACTGTAAGAGGGGAGCCTGACTGTGCCCAGAGGATTTGGCGCAGGGGGCTCCCCTACACTGTCCTAAAGACAAGGGCACCTCAGCTTGTAGGTGGCTTGTCTGACTTAGATTTTCTAAAACCGATCTGCTCATCTGCCCCACCCCCAGCCTGCCGCTTCCGTGCCCCATTCAGTGTCTGTGTCCCCAGCTCCTGAGGGCAGGGCTTTCCATCTTTGGGGTCACTGTTTTATCCCCCACATCTGGGGCCATATGGTAAACATTGTGGGCTTAGTGGGCTGCGTGCAATCTCTGTATTTGTTTTCTATCACAGTTCTAACAAATTACTATGAACATAGCAGCTTAAAACAACACACATTTGTTAACTCACGGTTCTGTCAGCCTGACCCAACTGGTTTGTCTGCTCAGGGCCAAAGGTAAGGTGTCAGCCAGGCTGTGGGTGGGAGCCGTACAGAGAAGCTTAGGAAAACTCCACTCCCGGGCATCCAGGCTCCACCAGGTTGTTGGCAGAATTCACTCTGTGTCCTAAGACTGAGGTTTCTGTGTTCATCCGAGAGTTGTTCTCAGCTCTGAAAGGCACCTGCACTCCCTCACTGAGGCCCCCTGTGCAGCCGCCTCTTCTCCTACCTCCCTCTTTTGCTCACAGACATTAAGGAGATTGTTTTGGACCCACCCAGATAACCCAGGATCATGTCCCTGTTTTACAGTCAGCTGATGAGTGACTCTCATGTCACCTACAGAACCTCTTTACAGCAGTGCCTACATGAATGAACAGCCAAGGGACAGTGTCGGAATTCTGCCTGTCTGTGTCACATATTTTTCTCTACAGCCCTTTAAAAACATAAAAACCTGATCACTTAAGTTATGTAATGTCTAATCACTGGGTTGTATACCTGAAACTAATGTAATATTGTGCGTAAACTGTAATTGAAAAATAAAAAACTAAAGTTAAAAAAAAAAATCCTCCCCCACACACATAAAACCCATCTGTAGCTGGGGTGCTTCCGTTTCTGGCCCCTGACCTAGGCCTGAACCTGGCCCATGGCAGGTGCTCAGGAAGTGTCTGTGGAGAGGATGAACTAATGAAGCTGTGTTTGCAGACAGGGCAGTTGGTGTTGACGTAAAAGCAGAGCTGACATCTGCCTGGAGGCAGAGCAGCTAGTTGGGAAGTGGGCTCAAGCTGTCAGAGGCCAGTCCCCTCTTCACGGTTTTCCTGCCAACCTCTCAGAACTCTGGTTTCTTTCAGGCTGGCAGCCTGGACCTGAAAGCCAAGGGCCACCCGCAGAGCAGGGCCCTCTCACGGAGGAGCTGTCTTGCATCACAGAAAGAAGAGGCTTCCTGGGGGGCGCTGCCGGTCCCACCATCCGAGGGGAAGGCCAGGTCAAGGCACCTGAGAAGGGCCAGGATAGTTCGAGGCACTTGGAACTTTGCCTTGAGGAAGCACCCGTTCAAGATAGAAGCTATGAAAGTCGCAGCCTTGGGGAAAGCTGTGTCCCAAGTTCACACCTAAACCTGCCTCCAGAGATTCCTCGGAGAGAATATTCCTGTACTTCGAACTCACAGGTTGCCGAGTCGGAGGGTCACTCAGACTCGGTCCGTCAGCAGACAGGCTCTTCCGGGGAGCAGCCGTGTGACAGTGGGAACTGCAGTGCAGGGTCTGGTGTGGCTGTTCCGGCGGCGGAGCTCACTCCAGGCCCCGTGCAGGAGAAACCCTACAAGTGCGCAGACTGCGGGAAGTCCTTCAACCACAACGCGCACCTCACCGTGCACCGGAGGATCCACACGGGGGAGAGACCTTACATGTGCAAGGAGTGCGGGAAAGCCTTCAGCCAGAACTCCTCGCTGGTGCAGCATGAGCGCATCCACACAGGAGACAAGCCCTACAAGTGCGCGGAGTGTGGGAAGTCCTTCTGCCACAGCACGCACCTCACCGTGCACCGGAGGATCCACACTGGCGAGAAGCCCTACGCGTGCCAGGACTGCGGGAGGGCCTTCAATCAGAACTCCTCGCTGGGCCGCCACAAGCGGACCCACACCGGTGAGAAGCCGTACACCTGCAGCGTGTGTGGCAAGTCCTTCTCACGGACCACGTGCCTGTTCCTACACCTGCGGACTCACACTGAAGAGCGGCCCTATGAGTGCAACCACTGCGGCAAGGGCTTCCGGCATAGCTCCTCGCTGGCGCAGCACCAACGCAAGCATGCTGGGGAGAAACCCTACGAATGCCGCCAGAGGCTGATCTTTGCGCAGGCAGCCGCTCTCACCAAGCACGAGTGGGCCTGCGACCCGCCTGGGAATCCAGGGGAGAGGGCTCAGCGGAGCGACCGGCCCTTCAAGTGCGGTCAGTGCGGCAAGTGTTTCATCCAGAGCTCGCACCTCATCCGGCATCAGGTGACTCACACCAGAGAGGAGCCTCGTGGGCGGAACCGGCGGCGGAGGGAGCAGCCCCTGGGTCGCAGCTCCCATCAGCATGTGCTGGCAGGTGAGAACCCTGGGGGCGGGCCGAAGGGAGGACAGCCGGCGAGCAGGGCACTTGCCCTCTTTGACATCCACGAAATCATGCAAGAGAAAAACCCGGTGCACGTTATCGGGGTAGAAGAAACTTCCGTGGGCACCTCCGTGTTACTGAACGTCAGAGACTCCACATAGGGAAAAACTCTACAAATGACTGAACCACAGGTACAGACGTGTAACTCCACATGGGGTGTTCACCGACAGGGGCGCTAGGGATAAGAAGGCCCAGGGCAACCTCCGACTTCCTATGAAAGATGCTTCCCACACACCTTAGATTGGTAGTCCTCAGATCTATCAAGCTTGGTGCCCCCTTTAACATAGATATTTTGTACTGTTCCCTCTGTGACCCTGAAATGAATTCAAACATAACGTCAAAAAAGTCAACCTACAGCTCTGTTTTGTAAAGGATAATTAAAAGTAATTTATGATGGAGTAACGCGTACTGAGTTGGTGCAGAGTCTCTCCGTGACTAGGCCATTAACGCTGGAGACCCAGTACTGTCTGCTGGTTGTCGTCTGGTGCACAGGGTCTGGGGTTGGCCATGGAAATTCTGTGAGGGGCATTCCTGTATGGGATACGGTTTTTCAGTGGTGACTTAACTGTTGGAAAAGTTTTGAGCAAAACAAAATGCCATTGCATTTCTGGAAAATTCTGTATAAAATTCTCAGCATGCAGGAATGAATGTGTGTTTACATGTGAAGTTGACTGAGGGTCTAAGTTCACACAACTAGGTTGTTTCATACATATACACACGGTCTCCAGGGGCCCGTCTGCATTTCACAGACATCAGAGCAGTTTGGCTCCCACTCACCCGTCAGCCATTCTCATGCCCAAATCAAACACAAAGAAGTCCTGTGAAACTCCACGACCTTCTGTTGGGGCGTCATGGCCCCTGTGAAAACCATTTCAACAGCCGGTGTTACTCTAAGCCTGAGGTTCTCAATCAGGGAGGTTTTGTGTCTCAGGAGATGTTCCATGATGTCTGGAGACATTCTTGTTTGTCATGGCTGGCAGAAGGGAGGGATGCCACTGACATCTAGTGGATTCGGGCCAGCAGTGCCGTTTCTACATCCTGTAATGCCCGAGATAGGCCCCTTGGCAGGATTCTCTGGACCCACACATGCCAAGGTAGAGACACTTCCCAGCACTACAGCCGACGTTTTCCAAAATGTAAACTGGTTGATCGGGCCTATGTACAACAGTCTTCGTTTGACATTTGATTTTAACAAATGGTATCATTAGCTAGTTAATGCACAATGTGGTTTTTAGTTTGTATTTTTTTTTACTAAAATTTTACTATCTTGCAGTATTCATAATTGGTGTGGAAAAAAGGAAAAGAATCCACTTATTTTTCTGAGTAATCCAAAATATGGACATTATATTTTCACTGGTACCCCTACCTGCCAAGGATTCTTTTCACATTGGTCCTGGAAATCATGTCATTTCATCCATTTTTCTGAACATATCTCTACAAAGCAAGAATTTAAAATATATATACATATATATTTTATATATATTATGTATCCCTGTTGGTCCATGGGAACAAAACCGTATTCATAATCACACTGAGCCGTTTTGCCTTATTCACAGTGTTGATGTTGTGTGGAGAGTGGATGACAGTGCTGGGGCCTCAGCGTGAGTGAGGGCAGTGGTCCCGAGGTGGTGGCTTGTAGTCTTCCTCGCTGGGCATGGCAATAAAGAAAAAAAAGGCTCACTTCATTTAGCAGTATCTGCGATGGAGCAGGAAAAATGATCAATTTTATGAAATCTCAAGTAAAACTACATAGCTATTACCACATCTAGGCAGAATAGCAGTAGTTCCTCAATATATAATCAAATGTCTAGTGTTCAGAAATTCTCGATTGCCTCATGAATTGTTTTGTCTTGTACTTGGTTTGTTCTAATCAGGATATAAACAAGACTCACACAGTGAGTGCATTTGGTTGATTTTTGTAGATCTCTTTTAACCTGTAGGTAGGCCTCCCCTCTTTTTTTCTCATCTGAGGATATGTTTTTTGATTTTTGGAGGGAGAGGGAGAGAAACATTAATGTGAGAAACATCAATCTGTTGCCTTCTGTATGCATCTGACTGGGGATCAAATTCACAATCTTCTGGTGTTCCGGATGATGCTCTAATGAACTGAGCCACCCAGTCAGGGCCTCCCCTCTTTATTTTTTAGTCTTTTATTTGTTCTGGGACAAAAAAAATGCGTTGCCCCCTCCAGCCTGCCCATCAGACAGACACTCCTTGCTTTGGCCTGGTGGAATGCCTTCTGATGTGGCATCACACCACTGGGTGTGCTTGGGCACCTTGTGAATTGTGTGGTTCGCACCTTGGATGGGATCTCTGCCGGAGGTCCCAGCTGTCAGTGCCAGGTAAAGTGAGACTTCTGAGAAAATGATTTGTTACTCTATGATACAGGACATGCTAACATGACCGTTAATGTCCACAATTGCAAACTTTGCCTCAATCACCTTACTGCTTTTCTCCAGTTTTAAACCCAAGGAAAGCCAAGCTCTCTGATCTTTGTCCATGCTGTTCACATAAAGAACATTGTGATTGAGGTGTGATCCTTGGTGTCTCATAGCCCACGGTGTATAAAAATAAAGGATTTAAATCTGCCTGCTTTCTAACCTATATTGGAGCAAAAGCCAACCAGTCTCATGTTCCATTATACAGACATTACCTTTTTTCTTTGTTGTGGCCACTGGTTGGGTGTTGTCCTGTACCTCAAAAGGTTGCGGGGTCAATTCGCAGTGTGGGCACATGCCTGGGTTGTGGGTTCCATCCCAGGTCTGGTGGGGGGGGGAGAACAACTGACCCATGTTTTTTTCTCCCCCTCTCAAGAATCAGTGGGACTATGGCCGTCCTTGTTAGTGTAGTGGTGAGTATCCCCATCTGTCATGTGGGAGACTGGGGTTCATTTCCCCGTCGGGGAGGCACCTGCTGTTCTGCCTTAGCTGGTAGCTGGTGTGGCTCAGTGAATTGAGCGCCATCCTGGGAATCAAAGGGTCACCAGTTCCATTCCCAGTGTAGGGCACATGCCCGCGTTGCAGGCCAGGTCCCCAGCAGGGGGCGCACGAAATGCAACCACACGTTGATGTTTCTCTCTTCCCCTCTCTAAATAAAAATAAAATGAAAAAACCCTTAAATAAAAAGAATCAATGGGAATATACCCTCAGGTGAGGATTTTAAAAAGTTGCATACTCTAGAGACGTGAATGCCACTACTTGCACAGAAACCAGTGTCTTGCGTGAAAAGTTCTTTGAAGGCAGAAGTGATTGTATTCCAGAAACACCACTCATATTGTAATAGAAAGACTCAGCTACTAGATATCCTCTGAACCAACAACTGGACACGACTATTTTTGGGTCAAGGCATTAGTATCTTGAATCTATATGTGTTAAATATCACTGTAATTTCATCAAGGAGAACCTATACCTAACATATATTCTGCTGATCAACAAAGCACTAATTTAACCAGTGAAAATCCATATCAGACATTCAGGATGCTACTTAGCAAATGCCTGGTGTGTTTCGAAGACATGAATACAGAACTTGTAGTCACATCTGAGACGGCTTTTCTGATACATATGTGCCACATATCTCTAGACCATGAATTCTTGATTAAGTATCTAGACTCTATGTGTAACTCCTTTAAGCCAACACATTTATAGGATGGTATCTTTGTTGAAGTTCTTAAAAGTAAATTACAGACATCTTAAAACAATGCACTATGCACTGCTTATATAGTGCAATTTAGCACATTAGAAAATGGAATTAGCTTCTGGATTCCTGGAGGTAAGAGGTGAAAGTGAAAGCCTTAAGTTGAAAGAAGATTGCAGAAGAATTGGAGGATATTAAGAATTAATTGGAATTTTAACAATTTTACATTTGAATGACCCCCATCTCAAGAAATTATGTCTTTATACTGAAAATAAGGCATGGATATTTTAAATGCTTTTCATTTAAAATTAATATATGTTCTTATAATATTTAATTTACTTCATACATAGTTTGAATCTTTGTATCATGTGAAGTTCAGATTTAGTCATATTCACTGAGGCTTTCGTTTATGTTTCACATTGACGCCCTCCACCCCACTCTCCGCCCTGCACTCCATCATTTTTCTGGCCCTGGCTCATGTTGAAATACTGGTAGGCAGGTTGTTATTACCTGACTTCTGACCTTGCAGACAACTAATATTTGATAACCTCCTGACAATTCTCTTTTATAAAATCCCAGTCAAAATACAAGACTTGATGTATTTGGAAGGTTCAGGTGACTTTTAAGTCTATTGGAGATTCATGTGGAATTCATTCCAGTAACACACTCTCCCTTCAGTAATTTTAGTTCTTTTATTTACATTATCGAATAAAATACTAATGGATTTTAAAAATCAAAATGCAGAAAGTAAAAGAAATAAGGTTATAATTATTGTAGGTAATAAAATACGTTTTAAAAATTAAAAAAAAAAAAAGTTGCATAGACTGGAATCCAGGAGTCACTAGGTACCAGCTACTTGTCCTCTTCCAGTGGAGTCATATAGCACTCAATCCTCCCAGGAACACCTGAGTGGGGGAACCATGGACTACTGCCAGCCTGGACGCTCCCCCAAGCCTGGCCATATTTATTGGGGGTTGGTAATGTCCTAACCCCCAGTACATCTCACAATGTGACTGTATTTGGAGATAGGACCTTTAAGGAGGTAATTAAGGTTAAATGAGGTCATATGGGTGAGACAGACACCATCACACAACCAGGCATCCACTGTGTCACGCAATCATCCCTGTAATCACCATGACAGTCACTGTACCAACATAAAATGTCATACACAGTTCGGGACGTTCATGCTGTTTACTGCCTCCATATCGGTTTCACACCATCATACATTGTGACAGCCACATGCATTTACACAATTATCACATGGTGACTAAATACCCACACGTGGTCACAAAGAGTGGCACACGGAGCCCAACATCCACGCCACGTGTAGTTACACACGGTTCACACGAGGAATCACCTGTTTATGGTCACAATGAGCCCCACGCAAAACACATGATACACACCCCATGATACACACCCCTCACACAGGCACCCACACTCCTCAGCACCCACATTCCTCACACACCCCTCACCGCCGCACCGTCATCCCACACACTCCTTTAGGTCCAAGCACCATACACCTGCCGAGGGTCCAGCCGTACCACCTACTCGCCGCCACCCCTGCTCCGAAAAAGCCAGTCCACTGGGCACCGCGCCCACCTGGACTACAACTCCCGGCGTGCCCTAGGTTGCCGGAGGGGCTCCTGCGCAGGACCTTGTGAGAACTGTAAGGCAGGCGGACGCAGGGGCCGTGGGACGCGAGGCATGCCGGGAGTTGTGGTCCTGGTGGGCTGCGCGGCGTATTCTGGGAGTTGTCCCGGTGGGCGCGCGGGCGCGCGGGGAGGCTCCTGGTCAGGCTCTCGGA